TTCGATTTTTGTTGAATCGAATTGACGCGGGTTTTGGGGGGGAGGGCACCTATATTGTCAGATTATGGAAATGAGTCAAGTTTCGAAGGGTGAGGGGGGCTGAAAAGCTAAACTGTGACGTCATCGGGTGTGGGGGTTGTAGTATGATGGAGTCAATTACGGGAGCTGGTCTCTTAGCGGGGGGAGGGGGTTTAGCGGGTTCAGAACTACGCGATCACCACTAGCATTTGCATGGTACTAGCAAATCTTCGATTGTTACGCAAAATGTGTTTTGGTAGTTTTTGTAGATTGTATTTAGTATTATTTGAGTGTTATGTATTGTACTAATAATTTAAATAGTGTAGTTCATTTAGCGCCTTAGTAGTCACCTCAAAAGACGTAAAATTATTTTCGAAATTTCGTTAATTTTATATAAATTCTTTTACTAAAGCAGTGTAAAAGCCAGATAAAAATGTATTTAACATCGGTCACCTCTGCAGATGGGAAAACCAGAACAGTTCCTCTCCCCTAATAGCCCAGATCCCATTTTTTCCCACAACTCTCAGATTCCTCCATCCTCCTCTCTCCGAACCAAATTCACACCAATGCGATTCGAGGGTCTAGGAAAACCTGGAAACGAAATGGGCGGAATCTGAACTTGGACAAATACGGCGCCGTCGAGATGGCGGCGACTGAAGGCGAAGGGGTCACTGCTATTCCGGGGCTGAAGCGTGACGGGTAAGCCCTAACTGGCTATCCCCATACCCTTCCACTTCTTTCCTTAAATCCCCTAAACCCTACAAGGCCATCAACACATCATTGGAACATACTTGCTAACATGCTGGCTAGTGGAGAATACTAATTGATGTTATGGTTAGTTTAAATATACTGCATTTTTTGTAAAATAAACCAAGTCTAAAAACCCTTATATTTTAGAATAATATGGTACTCTACTTTTTATAAAACTATTTAGCCATTTTCTCCGGGCATCTACTTTATTCCTACCACGCCTTCACGGGATGTACTCTGAGGGATCATCTCGGGTGCCACAACTGAAAAATCAGCGAAACATTTTAATCTGCTGACCAGAAGCCCCTGCTTTCGACACGTTTTCAAATTGCACAGGTACGCTTTTCCCACTCTAGAATTACCTTTACTTTTCATAGGAGTATTGCTATCTAAAAACTCCTGTGGCGGCAATAAATACGCATGAATACTATGGACTCCGGGACACGCGGCGTTTCGTCAAGAAGGAATGCGTTGTTGGTGAGGCTTAGGAGGCTTAGGCTTAGGAGGCTTAGGTTTAGGCTTGGCTTAGAGTCGATTAGCTTTAGGCCAGGTTAGGTCTCGGCGCCTTAGGCCTAGGCTTATGCTGACAAGGAGTGCCCTTTAGTGTCATCACAAAACCTTTATGACCTAGCTCATTCGATAGAGAATTGAATTCTGAACAAGCTCCCGTTGTTCGTTTTTGCGGAATGGTTGTCTCGATTTTATAAAATTAAAAAACTAAAAACAGCATTTTTGGACTCCCGATGCTCGCGCCACCCCGAAATGGGCTGCCGGGGAAGAGCCGCCTGACCTCTCCCACCAGTAAGGGTGGCGCAGTGGCTAACACCACGGGACACCGAAATTCTTTGCATTCAGGCAAAAGTTCGAAAAACTCACATCAAAAAGTGTCTTTTTTGCTTTTGAATAAGGTTACAGTAAAACGCCTCGTACGTTTCATGCATTTTTGAGAAAAAGCCGGTTTGCACCAACTAGATTCTATTTAGCGCATGGTTTCAACACATAGGCTTTTTCACAAAGGACTGTTCGATTGTCTTGCTTCCAATAAACCCACGTTGACCTATGTTCAAGCGCAATCAAAATTCAAAAAAGCAAAAAAGAATTGTTGATGGAGTCGAACTTGCCTGAATCGCAAAAAGCTTGGTAGGTCGTGGTGTTAGCCACTGCGCCACGCTTACTGGTGGTGGGAGAGGTCAGAGCGGCTCTTCCCCGGCGGCCATTTCGGGGTGGCGCGACACGAGGTCCAAAATGCTGTTTTTAGTTTTTTAATTTTATAAAATCGGAGACAGCCATTCCGCAAAAACGAACAACGGGAGCTTGTTCAGAATTCAATTTTCTTATCGAATGAGCTAGGTCGAAAAAGGCTTTGCTGATGACACTAAAAGGGCACTCCTTGTGAGGCTTTCTTAGACTTCGGTTGGGCTTAGCTTAGGCTTTGGCTCAGCTTTGCTTCTAGGTTTAAGCTTAGGTTTAGCGTAGTTTAGCTTAGGCTTAGCTTAGGCTTAGCTTTTAGGCTAGCTTAGGCTTGTCCCAGTAGTATGTTAGCTTATTTGGGCTTACGGGCTTAATTGAAGCCATGCTACGTAACTGTTGTTTAGGTTCCGGCGGCCCAAGACTAAAGCGTCGTGTCAGAGGCCACGTACTAATTGCGCAAACTGAAAAAGTCAGCCCAGCCGGGAGGGAGAGCTAGACTGCATCTCCAAATGTTTCCAGCAAACAGTTTGCCTTGTTTTACCGCTTATAACTATTTCAAGAACTTCACGTGCCTATCAACGATGTGGTATGCAGAAGAAAAAGATTGCTTCTCAACTATGCTGATTCTCATGAAAGTGACCCAGCGCCGATACAAACGTGGATTTTCCGTCGATTTCTTCGAGTTGGGAGCATTGGATGGGGATCCCTAAGAAAAGCGGAGAAACGGTTTACGTTGATACCATCATTACAAATCAATATACGCTGATGTTGCAACGGAAATTTCTGGCTTCGATTGAAGAGGTAGGATTCCTGACCAAAATCCACCACGTTTAGTGTTTGTCAACATGTAATGGATGTGACTTCGCAATATATACGGAGGTATTTTTTGAATTAAATAATTGGTTTAATAAAAATACAAAACGTTTAGGGGGACTCCGACCTGCACTCGACTGTTCGAGAATCTTTCCGCGACCCAATCCGTTATTTCTGAAAATGGAAACGATGGTTCGAAAAGATTATGCAGAAGTGGAGTAGTGCGTTGTCCGCCACGTGAAAGTATTTTTATCACGAGACATTCGATGGAAACACGGTTGAGGAGTGAAAGTTTGAGCGCGTGGGCTAAACCCCGGAAATTGATAAAATAATGGGAATCTTAGCCGTATGAACGACGAGAATTGCGCCTTTGGTTATGCCGGGAATACCGGTTGTCGAATCTCCGAAATTTCGATCCGGAGCCTCCCGCGGATTTTGGAGCGAAAATGTGTCGCATCTGGACCGCAGCCTGACCTAGGTAAGCTGATTGTTAAATTTGGCATTAATATAACATCCTTTCTCGGCTAGACTTTGCTGCCCCCTTAAAAGGTTCTCCGAATTTTGTGTTATATTTTGGCCCTAACTTTCTTAAAATCTTAGTATTCCGGGAACAAAATCAAACTATTAGTATACTTTTGGCCGCTCTATAAATGGTGTAAGAGAGATTAAGTAAAAATAAAGAGGTAATGTCGAAAACTGGCTTACCAGTATGTTCCAATGTTGAAAATAATTACTTAGCTGGTACTTTTTATTTTTAAAACATTTGAAACTCTGATAGTATGTTTTTTGGATGCTCTATCGAAGCGGGTTCAAAAACTCCTAAAAATTAGCGAAATATCGGACCTTTGGTTGTAAAATCGTTTCGCTTTTCCTGTCGCAGCCATTTTAAAAACCGTTTTAGGTTTTATTTTCAGCTGAAACACTGATGCGTTACCGGCGGCGCCGTTTTATTGGATATCGGCCGAACGAAATGCTTCAATAAATGCCTGAAGCGATGATCGACGGTTCATAAGTTCTTGAGGTTCAAAATTACCTTTAAAACAGTTGCGGAAGCCGTTAGGGCTACGATCGATTGACAAGGAAATGTGAATTGTTTGAGATTGAAAGGAAGAAATTTGCCTCAAATGAGGTTTGTTTTTTTATTTTATACTTTTATGGGGTCTCAGACTTGTCATCATTATCAATTAAACGTGTTCTCCTATGGATCAGACGTTGAAAATACAATTCAGGGTATTATTCATAGTTCTTAACTCAATTTCCAATGTTCTTTCGATGATTCTGATTTGGTGCAACATCCGCGAAAAATCGAGGCCTCAAAAACGTTGCTGCTGAAGGTATCTGGAGATTCGGGGGCGTTCCAAAGAAGGACAATCAAGAGGAAGCCACAGAAAGTAAGTTTTTTTTGGTAAAAGTTGCTTGACGGGGGCGGATAGAACAATTCTTGTATTCCTAAATTTTTCCTCCTGTTTTGGAAGCGGATAGAGTGTCAAAAATGTTACCAAAATGATTTTGGTATATTTAATTTTAGGTCGAAAAACCTTACCACGGTTTTTTATTTAATTCAGCCTTTTCTAGCTTAATAAATTAATAATTTGAAATAACGGTAGCTGTTTCCACCCCGTTACAACCTTTACCTTTTATTCTAACTACAATAGGTAATTCGATTTAGAAGCTCCAAAAATCAAACCGCCGGAACCCTTAAAACATATAAAAACGGAAGCTCCTCCAGAAGTGTCCATAACTCCACACTGTCGTTTTGGAAATATATTGATCGAGGTGGGGGATGCTAATTTGGTGCTAAACAAAATTAGCTGTCTCCCCGGTGCCGTTCAATGGCGTGATATTCCCGCGAAATTTCCATGACGGCTGCCGAGAACAGATCGTAAATGGGAAAGCGATGTTGACGTTGGAACTCGGATCAAATTCGAGTTGTCGAGCCGAGTATGATGAGGTGATAAAAGTGCCAACGTTAATAATATCCAAATTCTAGGTCCTGAAACTTACAAAACGGTGCTGATTGTAAAAGCAGCCCAGGAGAATCGTCCGTTTTAACTGACGACGATCGGTTGTTCCATTTAAGCTGTAAATACGGCAAAAACCACTCAACCATCGCGAAATCACGCCCGCTAGGCATCGAGTAAGGGAAACAAAATGATATTCTTACCGTATTTAGACTTCCTGCAGCGAAAGATCTTGCTGTACAGGGTACTGTACAATCCCCAAGGCAGATGGTAATGAGACAAATTGGGAGGAGTACGGTAGGCTGTAGACGATGCTTTTGGCACAAAGATTTTCAGCCGGAAATTGTGGAACTGGGGGATCCGGTGCAGCTCAACTTTATGGATGCGGCACTAACAGGAGGATTTTGTTGGATAGCTGCTATGCCACGGATCGAAAGAATTTGCGGAATATATCGTTAATACAGAAAGGGTATGAATACATGGGACTGGGCTGTTAGCGGGGGGGCAGGGTGAACGGGGAACCAAACTTTCCTAGTAATTCAATTCGATCCTATAACGAAATGTAGTTCATTTCTATTGCATTTTACACATTTTACAGATATAAAAAATTTCTAAAAGATTATAAAAATAGTCGATAATTCTTAACTTTTTGATCGAAAATGGATGAAAATTACCCAAAAAGGTCGAAATTTTCGAGTTTTCAAAAGCTTTTAAGATATTTGGAGCCGTTTCCAGCAATAAACACTGCTAAAAATCATTATAAAAATACATTGCATATTATCAAAAGGCATAGGCGGTAAAAAAGTGCCCCCCCCCCCGCTAACAGCCCAGAACCAGTTAAATCTTTTTAACTATTTGTTTTTCCTAGTTGCTCAATGCCTGGCCAGGATCATGTTGTTACACATCGAATTCGATATCGGGATGATGGCTTTACATTTGCTATAAAGTAAGGCTTTCTAAAGTTGCATGGAGGCAAATAAATCCAATCAGAGCCTTCAAATTTTCGGACGGCGAATCGGTGCGTATCACGTGTTTAGTAAAGAAATGTCCTGGATGTCCGCATGTAAGCAAATTTTTAATGTATCGAAATATATCTCGAAAATTTCAGCCAACTTGTCACCAAGTAGCAAAAAGAAGTCCCGAGCTTGAGATGCCACACCCAGGCACCGAGGTGACACGGATTGTAGCGGAATTTATCGTCGAGAAAAGTGGGTTGCTAGGCACTGGACTGTTAGCGGGGGGTTAGCAGGGATGAACTAATTTTTCCACGTAATTCTGTATCTGTATGAGCCATTTTTATAGCACTTTACAGCGTTTTTAGGTGTAAAAAGCTGATAAAAAACTTATAAAAATGTTTGAAATGTTCAAAATATTTTTTGTAACTTTCTAGCAATCCAAGCTACATTGTAAAAATAGACGATTTATTATTAACTAGTAGTTTTCCCTGTTTAGTAGATCTAAATTGTCTCCCCCTTGGTAAAAATCTCTCCCCCCCCCGCTAACGCTCCAGTACCGGTTGCTCTTCTTACCCTATGATTTCGCTAATCCCTAATTCGATGTACTTAGATAATTACAGTACCATGTAGTCAACAGTACTCTTTTCAGGCCACCAAAACCTCTGCGCCGAGACGTCATTACTTTATTCCGTCGCAGCCATTTTCATTTCGTTTTTCGGCGTTGAGTTGCTTGCACTAACGATTTTATGTCGAAGACAGAAACGGATTACGGTCAATAAATAATTTCCATGATTCCTTATACTCTTTCAAAGTACAGACCACAACAATTTACATATCTCAGACCCGTTTATTCGACGGAAAATCGAAAATTTGATCAAGGTGCCTCGTCCTCCTGTCCATTCGGTTCCTTCTTTTGCTTCATCTCACTTTCAACTAAAAAAAACGTATTTAATGTTTATTATTATAACCATATTAATTTTTATTAATTTTATTTTACTGCAAACAAACCTTGTTTATAAACACCCGGATACTTGCTGGCAAGCGCATTCTTAAAGAGCCGTATTTTCCGGAAAATAAATTCAAGGTCGCCCTTCATCTGTCCGATCATTTCTTTATGGGCGATCATGTCTCTTCTAAAAATATAGCATTTTCTTTTCCTTGTTTAAACTTTAAATAGAATAAGGTTTAATACCTCGCTCGATCCAGTCTTTTTTCTGAGAGCTGGTTACAGTTGCTCATCATTTCATTAGTTTTTTCGAAACGATAGAGGCTGAAAACGGAATAAAAAAAAGTTTAAATGGCTTAGAAAACTACCTTTGTTTTTGTGTCTCAATAATTGCTTCAACTGTATCGTTATCAACCTGAAAATGTTACATAGAGTTTTAGAATTTTTTTCAATAGGTTTTTGCTAGGAGGTAATTGAGGGCTGGAATTTTTCTTACTTAGGCTTAGGCTAAGGCTGTTTTAACCTCATCATCGTATAACTCAACCTCTCAAAGCTTAAGCTCTTAAGCTGCTCTTAAGCTCAACCTCTCAAGCTCAAATTCTCAAGCTGACGCTCTCAAGCGCAAACTGTCAAGCTCTCAAACTGTCAAGCTCTCAAACTGTCAAGCTCTCAAGCTCTCAAGCTCTCAAGCTCAAGCTCTTAGGCTCAAGCTATTTAGCTTAAGCTTAAGATTTTAAGCTCAATCTCTCAAGCTCAAACTGTCAAACTCAAGCACTCAAGCTCAAACTGTCAAGTTTTCTAGCTCAAATTCTTACGCTCAAACTCTCAAGCTCACGCTTTCAAGCTCAAATCTCAAATCAAGCTTTCAAGCTCAAGCTCTATATCTCAAATTCTCAAGTTCAAGCTCTCAAATCAAGCTCTCGAGCTCAAGCTTTCAGGCTCATGCTCTCTAACTCAAGCTCTCAATCCCAAGCTCTCCAGCTCAAAATAAATGTGTGATCCAATATACCTACTTGTGTCAATAGCGTATCAATAAGATGCTGATCAGGCGCGAATTCCGATTCCGAGGAACCATCTCTGAAGACGCTGCCGTGAGAGGTAGAAGCCATTACAGACGTTCTGCTGAAAAATAAATTATCGTAATTCAAATAATTCAGCGCAATTCATAAAGGTATAGTTCAAAAAATATCATCAATTTTTGGCGAGAAAGAATTACTTTTTAAAATAGGACAGATGGCCTTTTTGATATGCTTACCTCCATGCACCATTGATCTGGCCCATCCCAGCCCATGCTCCACACTACGCGACTTTTCCGATATTGCGCCGCGTAACCGCTGTCGCCTCTACTCCACTATGCAAATTGCGTGACTTTCAAAAGTTGCCATTTTTTTCTATTTTATTACCTTTATTCTTTACTAGTTTATTTTTTCAAAGAATTCCGGCATTCTAAACCACTTTTTCGAGTTCGGATGTCATCGTACGCCTCTTTTTACGTTCCCTGCTCGCACCTTTCTTCCCAGATGAATATGAAGAAGAAGATAACTATGATGGGTGATCCGAAAAAATCAGCGAAGACATGGCGCGTCTACCTGAACTGGCTTCAGCTGCTGAAGATGAGCCCTATCCGACGAAATTACACGGAAATGGCTGAACACCTACATTGGATTCTTCCGCGGTACCGTTGGCCTTATGGAATATACCAGACAAGTAGCGGACATTCTCGGCGACAAATTTCCAAAAGAAAACTCGGAAATTCATACAATTCTCTGGGAATTCGCCAATACGGATATTTCGCTTAAGAAGACTGCTCGGCTAAATATGAAGGATGCCGACGGACGGCCAAATCCTGGTTTGACATCGGTTGGCGATGATTCGAGCCCTACTTGCTTTGAAACTCGCGCAGCAGAGAATGACGTTTGAGCAGCCGCTGGTTAGCCTAATAGTGGCAGCGCAAGAACAATACGTCCAGAATATCTACGTGATGGCCCGCAGCTCCCGATGACGACATGTTTTGACGGATTCATGAGCCCGTCGAACGACGATCCATCGCCAAGAATTTTCAGATATCAGATCTTGTGGAGGGATTGAAGAAGCAGGTACAAGATACAACGCTTCCTGAAGAGGCCCGAGAAGGGTGGCCAGGAAACAATTGGCTGTGACTATCAAACGAAGCCCGAATCCTGGGGATTATGAGGATGTTATGGACGCGGAAGAGAAAGTGGAGGACGTTAAGCCAGAGGTCCGCTTCGGCTAAGAAAACCGGAAAGAAGCGCCAGCGGAAAGCACATTAGTAACTTTATTCAAGTTTCTTTTGAATGGTTTTTAATTACTCGGGCTTTTATGTCTTTCGCTTTACAATGCTTTATTTTGACCCTTGCTCTATACGTCAATTTCCTGTTACGAGTTGTTTAATCCCGGGTATTAAGTATTAATAAAAGCTTTATTCGTTGACTCTCTGCGAGATTGCGTCGATTTTAAATGATCACACAAAACTCGATAAAGGTCGCTTAGCGGGGGAAGCGGCTAACAGTCCAGTACCAAAATCTAGCGCTGTTCTTTGGTCACCATACCTAAGTATCGTATTTTAGTAAGGATGGTCATCGTAGAGATTAGGAAGAGATTTTTTTTGGTTTTCACACACGCGGACAACATTCTAATCCGACGGCTTATTGTTGTAGGGTCTGATAAGGGGCATGGTTTGCTTTCAATCAGTTCCTGTTTTGGGTCTGTCTTCCCGATATTTCAGATATGAAAAATCTTTGGATTTTTGTTAGCTGTATTCAGGCAGTCTGGGCCATGGAATGCTTTTTTGATTCAAATACACACGGGCAAGCACATACGGAAAATGTACGTTTTTGACTCATTTTTGCATCGGAGAATTGCACCGTTTTATTGTAGGAAAAAATAATATAATTAAGAAAATGGAGACCTTAAGAAAACCGGTGTTTTCTTGAATGGAAATAAAAATAACGACGAATTTCACGACAAATCAAGAGCCCTAAGTTTAGAAAACGACACAGCTGTGCTGGCATGATTGTGACTATTGCTCCAAAATAGAACTTTTGGTAAGTCTGGATTCTCTTCTCCTGATCCTCCCCCCCCTCTCTCTCACTCTCTCTCTCTCTCTCTCTCTCTCTTCTCTCTCTCTCCTCTCTCTCTATCCTCTATTTCTCTCTCACTCGCTTTCCATTTCTCTCTGCCTTTCTCTCTATCTCTTTCTTCTCTCTCTCTATCCCTCTCTCACTCCCTCTTCATTTCTCTCTCTCTCTCTCTCTCTCTCTCTCTCTCTCTCTCTCTCTCTCTTCACTCTCATTCTCTCTCACTCTCTATTTCTCTCTCTCCCACTTCCTCTCCATTTCTCTCTCTATCTCCCTCTCATTCTCTCTCACTCTCACTCTCTCATTCTCGCACACACTCTCTCTCCCTTGCTCTATTTCTCTCTCACACTCTCTCTCCATTTCTCTCTCACTCCCTCTTCATTTCTCTCTCACTCTCTCCCTCTCTCTCCCCTGTCTCTCTCTATTCTCTCTCTCTCGCTGATTGTCTTCTTTTAGAATGGCGGAAAATATACCTCTTATTGGGGCTGTGGTTGCGGGGAGGTGAACAATATCTACATGAAAGGAAAGCCGTGTACGGTATGTTGGAATTAGGCATCTTAATAATTAAGGAATGCCCATATCTAAGTATCTTATAGGGTTTACTTTCAAAATGTCGAAATTCAAAATTTGAAAATCATGATGCCGAAAAATGACGAAATTATAAATTTCGAAAATCATTATGCCGGAATTTGTAATGTCGAAATTTCCAATATCGAAATTTAAATCAAAGAATTCTTCGGAAACCCCTCAGAATGCTGTGAAAAATGACGACATCTTGAAATTCTGATTTTACGAATTTCGAAATTATGCTATTCGGCGTAGTGTTTTACGAGCGCGAAATTTGACAGAACAGCTTGGTCCAGCCTTTCCCGTCTCTTTAAAAACTATACATAGCTTTCAGAAAAGCGGCAGCTCAAAAATTTCCTACAACGGCCAATCCGGCCAATTTCACTGTTGTGTCGGCGATTCTTGCAACAGATCTACCGTACCCCATCCAATCCTGTGTTTTCTATTCTGCATCATCACCTTTTTCATCAAATATTTATAAATACAAATAAATCGCTGAGAACAAGGGGGGCAGCACCCTGTGGAAAAGACTCTGTTTTTTGGTAGAATCGATGGTGATACAGTCTAAATATTTGTGGGAGAAAATGGCATAAGCTCGAGATACAGGCCATTAATGCACATGTAGAAAATAAATGTCGAAAACAACAGACACTGTGAAAGCCTGAGTGGTGTCAAAAATGCGGTTCCAGTGAGCACCCAAATCATCCGGAAACGCTGAGATCATGAAAACATAAAAAAGGTTGAAAATTCGCAAAATTAGAGGTATTACGGTAGGCACAAAAATTGTAAAATAATTAATTCTAAGTTCGTTTCAATATATCACACGGACTAGATTGTCAAAAATCACGATGGGAATAAAATGTCGATATATAGGACATTTTTGGGAGAAAAAGTCTGAATTTTCTACAATTTTTCCGGCAACATGGGCTGTTTGTAGAGGTGGTGCTGCCGGAGGGTAGTGTTGTAGAAATGAGGAGTGGAACATTCGCTTTTCCCGTAGATTAGCTCAGCCTGAAATATATAGAATTTAAAATATATATGATATAAAAATAGTTTAGCATTTAAATATATAAAAAGCGCAATAAATAAAGCAAATTTTCGATATTTTTTATCGGCTTTTTTAATGGAATCTGATACGGCGTCAAAAATATACCCTAGTTTTAATTTTAGATTACAATAGTGTAATAGAAACGATTTAGTCAAAATTTCGATGTTCTTTGTCAAAATTTGTCACTATGTCGACATTTCCATAAGCGAATTTCCCTGAATTCTATGAAAAAATTTCAACACTACGTTACTTTACGTTACTACTTAAAAATTTTTTTAATTAAAATTACTTCGTATAGTTTCATTAATTTTGATTTAACTAACCGGTTGATATTTATGTCTATTTGAAAGACAACAAAAACGATCCCGCCAAGAGCGTAACGTCTTCTTCGACAAAATCCACACCCCTGACGTCCAACCGACCACCAGCATTGAGGCGGTTTTGATCAGGGCCAGCAACAAGGCGGCTTCTCCTTAAAATTACAATTTTTGCAAGTTGAATTAACGAACCAGTATCAGCTTTGGTGCTCGAGCAGCTGCACAAAGCGGCTTGCTCCCAGAGTGGCCGATGGCGCTGCTCATAGAAGAGGACAAGGATCAAGAACAGGGCTGGTACCTGTAATGGTTTCTTAAGAGAATTTAGGGTATAATCATACCGTATACAGGACTGAAAAGATTCCAATCTTCGACATTAGCTGCGTTACTTTCGTGACGTTTTCCAGGCCGTGTTGTTGTTTTTGGACCTGTAAATGTATGTTGAAAATTGATTTTTGAGGAGTCAGCAGATACCTCCCCTCAGCCGGCCTTCTTTTTCCTACTATAACTCGACTATATTTTATTTTACATGGTCGTAAAGTATGTCAAAATACTCGTCAAATCAAGACGAACATTTTGGTATACTTTACACACCTGTAGACGAACAGGAAGACGAGATACGGCGGAAGAACACCGGTTTTGTATATTTAATTTTTTCTACTTGCCTCAATACGAATGCGCCACAAGTTGAAGAAGCCGATGGCCAAGAACAAGACGCCAAATACAAAGTATACGGTGAGAGGGCCTAAAAATCGAGGGTTCTAGTTTTTTATTGTTTTTCTTACCCAAAACAAAGAGCCTCAAGAAGTGAACGTTCGTGTTGCCGACGTAGCAGATGCCTGATACCGGATCACCATCAATAGCCGAGAATGCGAGAGCCAGACCCGTCTAAAAATCGTATAGGTTGCTATTTATATTTCTATTACTATTTATTAAAAATATTTTTAGCAAAAATTAAATACCCTAGAACAGCTGGCA